ATGCTAGATCACCGTATAGCGCGGTGCAGGAGGCGCGCTATACCCCACGTGGCGCCAAATCATCATATAGCGCGATACAGGGGACGCGTTTTACTGCTAAGGGTGTTAGATCGAGAAATATAATAAGACCGATGTTAGATCAAAAAATACACTATTCACCGATGATATATCAGGAAAATCGCCTTCATATCAACTATTAATTAGTATAAAACTATAACGAGGTAGGATGCTAACTTCCTTAAATTATCTTTCACTGCAAATGAAATAAATTAAGTTAAATAAACTATTCTCATAATAAAAACTTTGATAATATTTAATATAAATAAATTAATCATTGAATATCGGAAAATATAAAATAAAAGTAGTTATTAATTTTAGCAAATGAGACAAGCTATCCTGGTTTAACTGATGTTAATTTATTGATTATAATACATATTAAATTAATCAAAGCATCCTTGGGAATCAGCTGTCTTTCCTGGAAGTGGCAACATTTGTCAGGTTGTATGTATGTTCCCAAGAACTTCATTTTGTACTCAAAGGTAAAAACAATTAAATTTAACGATTTTAGCAAATATATATATATATATATATATATATAATGATCTAGCAATGATTTAAACCACTGATGAAATTATAAAAAAATAAAAAAATTATATTCATATAATGATTGCCAAGGGTTAAATCGGGAATTTAAGGATAGTAGAGAGACTTTATGAATTTTTTTCAATAATAACAGCTTAATTTTATTAATAAAAACAAAAAAAATTACAACTCACTCGAACATAAAAAATGAAGAAAATAATATAAAAATATAAAAATAAAAATATTAAACACAAATATATGAAGAAAAATGAATTCTATCTTTAAGAACGACAATCAGTATAAAAAAATTCAGTAATCTTCATAAAAAATTCAAGGAATAGTAAGCTAATCAAACTATCTAATAGGTTGCTTCGTTATATAATTCTGATTATATAGACAAACAAACATTTAATAAAGAGATCTGATTAAATGTGACAATCGATAAACCAATCATAAAATAAAGTGATGAGGGTGTTTGTGTGAGTATCAATACAACCGTGTCACAAAAGCATAAAAATCATAAGGATGACAAATATTTTTATTCAAAATTAAAAAAAAAACTCAAAGAAAGAGAAAAATAAAGAATAAAATATATAAAAATAATAAAGAGAAAACATGGGCATTTTCGCTTGCAACGAAGACATTTGGTGTGTTTTAGATTTTCTAAGCTACGTTGGAATAAAATCATATAATCCATCTTTTTTGATCTTGCTCTTGAAAAAATGTAGAAATAAGTTCTGGAATAAAACAATATTGTAGAAAATCTTGCCATATTTTGGTAAGGGTCGGAAGTTTTTTTTTTTTTGATAAAGCTATCCAACATGATTACGGTTTTTATATATGGATAGAGTCTCGTGCTTTGTAGAACGTGAGACACATTGACATATCATATTAATGGCATAAATTGGTATTGTCACGTCAGGAATCTCATTAATATATATATATATATATATATATATATATATATATATATATATATATATATATATATATAAATATATAACTATATAATATACTAAATATATTATATATACTATATATATAAAAAGATAAATTATAGGATTGGTCATTTTAGTTTTTGTTTAATTAAGATGTGGTCACAAGGATGTGAACTTTCATTAGTTTGATGGCGTGCCACATTAAGAAAAGAGTTTAATTTTTATTTTAACCCTTAAACTTTGTATAAAATATTAGTTAGTAACCTTTTTATAAATTCAAATTAGTTTAGGAACAAAGTTATAATTTACCCATTTTTAATATAGTTTTCTTCTCACTCTTCAGTTTCATCCAGGAAAACAACGCCGGTAATGCCACGACTGCTTCGATGGCTGGTCATGGTCCCAAAACCACAGATGGTGGTTGATGAATTCCCAGTACGGCCTGGCCAACCTGAGTGCAGCTCCTTCCTGAGTGTATTTATTTGCAATTAGATTTAAATATACAGTCTCTAGTTTTCAGTAAGTAACTGCACTCAGGTTGGGCAGGCCGTATCGGGAATTCATCAATCACCATTTGTGGTTTTGGGAGCAAGACTAGCCATCAAAGCAGTCGCGGATGAAACTGATTGGTGAGAATAGAAGTATATTAAAAATGGGTAAATTATAACTTTACCTCTAAATTACTTTGATTTATTAAAAGGTCACTAACTAGTGTTTTATATAAAGTTTAAGAATTAAAATAAAAGTTAAACCCTTTTTCTAAAATGACACGTCATTAAACTAACGAAATCTAAACTCTTACCAACCACATTTTAATTAAATAAAAATAAAAGTAATCAAATATTATATTTTTTGAACTCAATAAAAAAATTTACAAAAATTTAACGAAAGTAACCAATCTTGTACCATAATATATATAATTACTATATAATGTAGCATAATATACTATAATATATATAATATAAATATAAATATATATTCACTATGTCCCATAAAATATGTCAATTACTGATTTTTATCAAATTTTTAAATTTTGAGTAATTATTATTTAAATTTATTATTGATAAAAATATGTAAAAATATATTTTAAAACCTCTAATGAAGTATTTTTCAAATATATATTTTATAAAATTTAATTATTTAAAATATTTAAAATAATTATAGTAAAAACTTTAAAAATTTAACTTTTAAAAGTCTATAAAGGACATTTTCCATAGGACAAAGGGAATATAATATACTACTATATATAAATACTATATAATACAATATAATATATTGATATTATGTAATATAGTACATAAATGCTATCTAAATATTATATAATATCTATTATATAATATACTATATAAACTATATGATTTATGTAAAAGATGTAAAACATAAATAAATATATACAAATATATAACATCAACTATCATAGATAACCACCCTCTAAATCAGTTGGTTCTACATTCTATGAGTTATTTTTTGTTGGGATTATATTTCCTTTATATATCTTATCTAGGGATGCTTAATGAGTTAAGTAGTTTGCGAGGAGCTAAAACTCGACTTGGTCAAAATTCGGTAAAAGTTTGACTCGAATTGACTCGATTCGAACTCAAGCTCGACTCGAGACCTTAACGAGCTAAGTCAAGCAAAGTCTAACTCGACTCGATAAGTTCGCGAGCAGCTTGTTATTTTTTTTTATAATCTTTTACTAGTTATCTTTAAAAAATTATTTCATTAAAAAATTACTAATTTACTAATAGATGATAAATTACTAATCTATCAATTTTCTTATTAATTAATAATTATTATTTTATTACACCCAAAATTAAACCATAATTATTATTTTAATGCATTTGTGGATTTTTATTTTGGAGTTTAGACTTTGAATTTGTTTCATACACTCTTTTGATAACTTTTTGGTTATATTTATCAATTTACGATTATATTATGTTCTATATAGTATTAGCAGGGGCGTGGCTGAGGGGGCGCAAAGTACGCGACCGCACAGGGCCTCTCAGCCACTAATAAGTTGTTGCATAAAAATAGGGCCCCAAAATCTCTTTGTATATGTTCAGGGATAGTTTTCAGCCTCATGTTTGATTCCATTACATTGCGTCATGGGGTCCATGCGCATGCTAATACTTTTCAGCCAAGTGGGTATTATAATACTTTGGAGGAATTAAGTAGGACGCACGTGGGTTTTAAAGTGAACTTGTGTGTTGTGTTGGAAGGCAAATTGCATGAGGTTCAGAGTGCGCCTACTGATGGGTATTCGATCAAGACATTTTGATGTTAGCATTGGGGCGCTCGGTTTCAGATAAAGATGTTGATCTACGGCCTTTAGTTTTCCCTGATAAGAATGTGCAAGCAACCAAACAGATAACATAGCCATTAGAATAGGGCCTAGAAAAATAAGGGCCCCTTTATAAGAATTTGCACATGGCCCCTTATAGTCTAGCCACGGCCCTGAGTATTAGCAGTTTTTTGCTATAGTTAAAAAATAAGATAAAAATTTTGGTGAGCTTAACGAGCAACGAAACGAGTAACGAGCTTAACGAGTTTTCTTAACGAGCACGAGTCGAGCAAAATTTTAATGAGCTTAACGAGAACGAACCGATTCGAGCAACAATTTTTTTTAACAAGCACGAGTCGAACACTATTTAACTCCCGATCGACTCGCTCAATAAGCACCCCTAATCTTATCTTTTTAATTAGTGAAAATCTAACTTTTTGTTAACAAATATTATAAATCTAAAAGTATTTTTTAATTAAAATTTATTAAAAGCCTTATCTACCTTTAATATTTTAATTAAATATTAGAATTCTGATTATTGCAATTTTATGGCATGATAGATGACCAAGTAGCATTTAGTTTAAGACAAAATATTCCATTTGACTTATTCCCATCATGGTTTATGACATGAAAGCCTTGTCTTATTCTGATTAGTCAGAAATCTTAAATTTGCATGACCATTCTTAAATTCTGACTAGTCAAATTCCATTACCCAATCACAATTTCATTCATTTCAAACCAGTGCACAAAAGGGTAAACTATATATTTAGTCTCTCATTTATCATTTTGGTTATCAAATTATATTTTAAGTTATCACTAACATTACGATTTAATTTTAGTTTTATTTTAATCATCAATTGTTAAAAAATTAAATCTCACGCTAACGTGTTATCATAACATGGTACCACTTCATCGCTGAAAAAATTAATAAAAATGACATGTCAATAGTTCAATTAATTTTTTTAACGACAGATCAAAATGAAGTAAAAAAAATAGCGTTAATAATGTTTTAGAAAAATATAACTAGAAAACTAAAAATAAATTAAAATGATAATCGAGTGACTGAATATGTAATTATTCTAAAAGAAATATAATATCCCTATTGAGAGTGAACAGATCGAGATTAATGTTTAAACAAGTATCCTAATATATTTTGGAAAACAGGGACCGCAATAATCACTTGGTGGTTCCAGATTCAAATGGCAACGCTGGATTTCACGGTGATCTTCTTCGTTAGTTTTCTAGGTTTCATCTCCCTTTGTAAAGTAGTTACTGGTTTCATCAAATGGGTGTGGGTCATGTTCTTGAGGCCACCAAAGAACCTCAAAGATCACTACGGTTCATGGGCTATTGTCACCGGCTGCACCGATGGGATCGGGAAAGCCCTGGTGTTTCAACTGGCGTCCCACGGTCTTAACCTACTCTTGGTGGGCCGAAACCCTTTGAAACTCCAAGCCACAGCCGACGCCATACGTGAAAGATTCGGCACACAAGTCAAAACCAGAAAAGTTGTCGTTGACTTTTCCAAAACCAGCGGCGAAGAGATGTCGAAGACGATGGAGGGTGTTATTGAAGGGCTAGACATCGGCGTGCTTGTCAACAACGCCGGCGTGGCCTACGAAGGTGCAACGTTTTTCCACGAGGTGGAGCCGGAGGTGGTGGAGAGTATTATAAAGGTGAATGTGGAGGCGGCGACTTGGATTACTAAAGCGGTGGTTCCGGTCATGGCGAAGAAAAAGAAAGGGGCAATCGTCAACATCGGCTCTGGTTCTTACGGTGGCTTTCTTTCATACCCTTTATACACCGTTTATGCTGCTTCTAAAGCGTAAGTTTCTCCTCCCTCTTCCACTAATTTTAGGGTTTTATTCATCAGTTTTGCATGGCTCGAATAAAGTGTTACTTAAGATTGAAAAAACGATGCAGATGAAAATATTATTAACTACTAAAATTAAGATGATATATATGTTTGAAATTTTAAGGTTTTAAAATTTAATATTAAATCCTAAATATTAGGATCTAAAATTTTAAATTCTACACATTAAATACTACACATGATATTAAAACAAATATATTTACATAAATTTATCAAATATTTTTCTATATGTTTAGATTAGGGGTAAGTCAAACTTAACTCTATTAAAAAAATTTGATTTTTTTAATTTTAAGTTACTCGAGTTGAATTATTCAAATTATTCGAGTCAATTTGAGCTAATGAGTTTATTTTCGAGTTCAAATTGAGTTGAATTTCGAAAAAATTGAGTCACTCAAAAAATCAAAATTTTGATTGAGTATTTTGATAAGTATTAAGATTTAGTCTTTAATTTCATTATTCCTTCAATTCCTCATTTATTTTAAGTCCATTTTCACCAAATTTTAACCATGTGCTCCTAAACTATCTTAAAATACCTATGTACTTTCAATTCCTCTTATTGATAACAAGTTTTCTATTTTTTTTCTAATTTAGTCTCTCAATTTTGCACGATTCTTTACTTATTCAATTCATCCTTCATTTTAAGTTCATTTTTTACCAAATTTGAACTACATGATTTCATATCACTATAAAATACCTATGTAACTTCAATTCCTACTTTTTTTTTACTAAAAATATACTATTTTTAATTTATTCTATTAACTTTGTATTTCACTCAATTTGATCTTTTGACTGCAATTGTTTACAAATTCTTTCTTTTCATCAATTCATTGACTCTTTCATGCTCTCATCAATATTTTATTCTTAAATTATATTAATAGTCTAGGGTGATTGTAAGGTGTATTTGTTCATAATCTTTCTTAACCACTGACAATGCACACATGCAGATGCAACTGCTCGAACCTAAGATTTCTAAGGATAGTAACACTCCCTTTTAAATATAATATTATAAATATATTTTATAATTTTAGTTTGTATTTGATATATCAAATAACATTATAATCTGGAATATATATATATATATATATATATATATATATATATATATATATATATATATATATATTTTGGTTAGAGAAACTCAAAAAATTATAATCAATTTGTACTATAATACTATTCATTATTACAATTAAATTTGTACAGAAACACAAATAACTCTACTCGACTCTAATTTTAAAAACTCGACTCGAAAAAGTTTCAAATCAAGTTTGAGCCATAAAAGTCAATTCACCATCTTGAATAGCTTGAAATTTTTTTACTCTAATCAACTCAAATAAATATTCACCCCTAATTTAGATTTCATTGTAAGTAGAATGTGAGATAAAAATAGAAATAATTGTAAAAGTAATATATTTAGTTTAAAAATAAAAATATTAAAATCATGTTTATATTAATGATTGGGTGACTAGAATGTTGTATATGTTAAGATTTTTATTTAATTATTGACAACGTATACACTATTCGAACCAAGACCTCCAAGAAAAATAATACTCACTTTTATCTTGAAATCACTCTATAAATTTCATATTAAATAATAATTAAAATTATAAATTATGATAGTTTTATATAAAATATAATTTTAATATATATACTTATTATTATTTTTATATTTGTATTAAATAATATATATTTTAAAAAACAGAAAGAGAGCTACTAAAAAGAAAAAGATGACTAGTGTCGTGAAAACATACACTTGAGGGATCATTCGATACTCTCAAATTGAGATATAGATCGAGGGAGGTGGGTATTATGTCATGCACAAAGGAGAAGAGATAAGAATCAGAGCAAGAGAATTGGGGAAATCAGAGAGAGGGTTAGGGATTTGGAATTGGGAATATACCTGACACGTTCTACATCCCACTAAGGATAGGAAACAACTTGCTTATCTGTGTAGGTTGTTATATTCAGTACAACAGGGACTGCCAGCTGTAGGGTAACTAGGGGTACACTGTAATTATATAAACCATGTACTAGAGGAGGAGAGGGCATGCTTTGATTGAATGAATTCTAAGCTTCTTGAATCTTTTCTTTTCTCTTAATCTTAATTCTCTCAATTCTTCGTATAATTTCTTCTCTAATCTCCTAGGGTCATAACAATTGTATTCAGAGCCATCATTTCCTGGCAGGTTGAAGCAAAGAACCAAACCATGTGTCGTAACCGTCTTTCGGTTGGGCCCCGGAATTGGGCTTCGACTTGAAAAATGTGGATTGGAGTCACCACCGATCATTTATTTAAAGATAAATGGGTTAATCGGATACCCTATTTCTTATCTGATCTGCGTCTTACCAGAAATATGTCGGGCTCGGGAGTCGGTTACGGTCAAGGAAGGATTAGCACCCTTGAACCGCCCTTTCGGTACTACGTAATTTCCAGTTGTCTTAATTAAGAAAAATAACAAGTTAAATTAAAAGATAAAATAATGATCCAAAATTACTTACCTTTGACGGATTTACAAATATACCCTTTAAAAGTCAAAATATGGGTTAGAAGAGATGAATAAATGATAAATAAAGTAAAACAAATAAAATAAGGAGATTAAGTAAGAAATAAAGTAAATATAAAATGAATAGAATATATAAAATAAAAAACAATAACACTAATATATGCACAACAAACAACTAAATAAAATAAAATGATAATGCAAATAAATAAATAAACAAGTAAAAGAATATAAAAACATAAAATATAGGATAAATATAAAAATAGATAAATAAATGAGTAAAATATATAAAAAAGTAAAAGCATATATATATATAAGTAAAATAATAATAATAAAAAAAGAAAATCAAAAGTAATATACGTATATATACATGCAAAATAGGAAATATATAATATATATATATATATATATATATATATATATATATAATAACACTAATAAAAAAACATATATACATATATAATAAAATTAATAGAAAGTAATATGCATATATAACAAGAATAATAAAGTAGGAAAAAATGATTTAGGGGGGAGAATTAAATATTTAAAAAAAATGAACATGCCTCGGGGGTGGATCTAGGTTCGAAACTTCGAAATCCCACCCCTTTTTAGTTATCGGCGCAACCCACGTTTTGGGTTATTCAAACCAAATCTCAAGAAAAATAACGTGCACATGCGAGAAATGAACGAACCAATGTAAAAAAAGATGCTACCTTTTATTTCCTTTTCGAATCGTTTACAACAACTTTGCCTTTGTATTTTCCGTGCTTTCCTCTGTGTTTTGTGTGTAAATCGTGTCTGTCAATCGTGAGTTACAATGGCTATTTATAGTGCTTGTGGATCCTATCTTTAGGAGTTTAAAACATAGCAAAATTCTATCCTATTTTAGGAGTTGAATCCTAGCAGAATTCTATCCTATTTTTGAGAGTTTGAATCCTAGTAGGACGAAAAAGGTGTGTTGACAGCTGCCCCTCTTTGCCCATAGTCGTGTAACGGGGATAGGGCAAAGATTGAAAGACACACTTTTCGTTCGGTGGAGTTGAAAATTGACTCTGATGTTTCAATAACTCCCTGTCGAATTGAGTTACGGATGACTCCTCCGTCGTGAAGTCGAGTTCATCTGGAAGCTTCTGAGCATTATATCATTCGTCGTGAAGTTGGAATCGAACTCAAAGCTTTTGGCGAGTGGCCTTTGAATCGTCTTCTGGATCAAGATACTTCGTCGTGAAGGTGAAACTTGACCTGAAGACTTCGGTGTTGATGCGTTACAGATGACTCATTCGTCGTGAAGTTGGGTCAATCTGTTTGTGAAATTGGAATCGTATAGGGCCCCTTCGTCGTGAAGTTGAGCCTAAGAATTGGATATCCTTCGCCATGAAGTTGAAATCCAAATATTGTTCCGAGTCCAATATCCTCCGCTGTGAAGTTGAAATTGGTTCTGGAACTGGGAAATTGTTTGTTGACAGTCAGTCGCCCCTTTGTTGTGAAGTTGAGCTTGTGCTGTCTCGAGTCTAATATCCTTCACTGTGAAGATGAAATTGACTCTGAACGAAATCTTGTTGACAATCAGCCGTCCCTTCGTTGTGAAGTTGAACTTGTGTTGTCTCGAGTCCAATATCCTTCGCTACGAAGTTGAAATTTGCTCTGAAATTTGAAAAATGTTTGTTGACAACCAGCCGTCCCTTCGTTATGAAGTTGAACTTGTGTTGTCTCGAGTGGCACGATATCCTCCGTCGTGGAGTTGAAATCGCGGATGAAACTGAAAAGTTGTTCGTTGACAACCAGCCGTCCCTTCGTTGTGAAGTTGAACTTGTGTTGTCTCGGGTAGCACGATATCCTCCGTCGTGGAGTTGAAATCGGCTATGGAATTGGGAAATTGTTTGTTGACAACCAGTCATCCCTTCGCTGTGAAGTTGAACTTGTGTTGTCTCGAGTCCAATATCCTTCGCTGTGAAGTTGAGATTGGCTCCGAAATTGCTTGTCGACAGTCAGCCGCCCCTTCGCTGTGAAGTTGAGCTTGCGTTGTCTGAATGCCACAATATCCTCCGTCGTGGAGTTGAAATCGCGGATGGCCCCTTCGTTGTGAAGTTGAACCTTGACTTGAATATCCTTTTGTCGTTAAGTTGAAATCCAAGTATTTTATGTTGCGGGTGGACACAATTCCCTTCGCCGTGAAGTTGAAACCGTGGAGACCCCTTTATTGTGAAGTTTGGCTTCGAGCTAGATATCCTTCGTCGTGAAGTTAAAATCCACTCTCGAGCAAATTGTGTCGCTTTGAGTTCAATATCCTTCGCCGCGAAGTTGAAATTGACTCTAGCTAAAACCTGAAAAAGTTATGCATATATGTGATGCTATGTATGCAATGCTCTTAGGTGTGCCTAAAATGTATATGCAACATATGTTATCTTGGGGCTCTGGAGAGAAATCTCGATCTCCAGTTGCCTGTCTGGAATCTTGA